GGCGAAAGTTGGCTTGAAAACTCAACATAGTAAACTAAGATCGTGGCATTTTTAAAAAAAAACGTTTTCATTTTATGGATATATATGTGTGTCTGTGTGTGTTGTATTTGTGCTGATAAATAAATAAAGGGAGACTAGTATAGATCTATTTCAAGCTATTTAGCTCTCATCAGCTAGCCATAATACAGCACATGTTCAAATCCCAGTAAGGGTATGGCTAGCTGATGAGAGCTAAATAGCTTGAAATAGATCTATACTAGTCTCCCTTTATTTATTTATCAGCACAAATACAACACACACAGACACACATATATATCCATAAAATGAAAACGTTTTTTTTTAAAAATGCCACGATCTTAGTTTACTATGTTGAGTTTTCAAGCCAACTTTCGCCTGGGGTTTTCGCCCAGCAGGATGGAAAAAACCCATGATGATAAATTGTGGTTATTTCTCCCCCCCCCCCCCCCCACTTTCCTACCCACTCAAACCAAGTTTCCTTACTCTGGAAGAGATTTTTGCTACCATCTAACAACAACAACAACAAAAGGCAAAGGAAGTGTGTCTTTGCGAGGCAAATGGCCCGTTTTATTTCAAACAGCACAACTCAAAGAGAAGACCCTGAGCGAGCCGGTTCAGGAGCGAGGTTCGAAAGGTGCCACCTCCCCGAAGGACACGGGGGCACGGTGCCACGCAGCCACGGGGAAGGGGTGGCTCTTGAAGTGCTTTCCTGCCCTGAAGTGTAAAAAGAGGACACCCCCAAAAATGTTCTCTCTCTCTCTCGGACGATCCCCCGCGGGCGGAGCGTGGGAAAGGCCACCCCGGGAACGCCCCACGCGCCGCGGGACCTTCTCTCTCGCATCAGCCGCGGCACAACGACGTCCGGTAGTTTCCCCTACGGGAAGCGAAGCTGCTTTCTGGCCAAGGTCAGCAGGGCGCCATCGAAAAGTCCAAGGTAAGATTTTTTTCCCCGGAGCGGGCCAAAAGTCTCGTACGACTCGGCCCGATCCTGGGTTTGTTCGGCATGCTGGGAGAACGAGTCTTTAGTCAATAAATTAAGAGGCGGAGGGAAACAAAAAGGAGAAAAAAATGAAGAATAAAGGGGCACGGGGAAAGGAGAGGCTTATTTAAAAAAACATCCAGGCTTGTTTCGAAGGGGGGAAGGAAGAAAGGAAGGAAATGAAGGAAGGAAGGAAGGAAGGAAGGGAAGGAAGGAAAGGAAGGAAGGAAGGAAGGAAGGAAGGAAGGAAAGGAAGGAAGGAAAGGAAGGAAGGAAGGAAGGAAGGAAGGAAGGGAGGGAGGGAGGGAGGTCTTTCTCCAACCTTACTTCCACCCCACGATATTTTCACAGCAAGGCTTCGAAACACAGAAGCCACCGAAGGGGATTCGAGGCAAGCCCAGATCTTTTGGTCCAGATTTGGGGAGAGAAAGTGGGGAGGGAATAGTTGTGCCCACCCTGAGCAAAAGGGGGTGGGTGGGGGGGGGGACACAGGAATGTCACAGGGTGCTTTCCAGAGTGTTGTAGTTGTCTTTGAAACTCTTGAGTTCCAGGAAGTGCTTGGCTCGCTTGCTCTTCTGGCTGGAAGGGAGGTAGGTGACCTGAATGGTTGGGCTGGAGGAGTCGGAAGAGAGAGTGAGGTCCTTGGCTGCCGACTGGTGCTGGCGCTGGCTGCTCTCGCCCCGGGCTTTGATGCTGTGGGAAGAAGGGGCGACGGTTAGAGTGGAGTCGAGAATAGAATAGAATAATGGAATGAAGAAGAGAAGAGAGAATGAAAGAAGAAAATAAAATAAAGATTATAATAGAATATAGAATAGAATAGAATAGAATAGAATAATGGAATGAAGAAGGGAAGAGAGAATGAAAGAATAGAATAAAATAAAGATTATAATAGAATATAGAAGAATAGAATAGAATAATGGAATAAAGAAGAGAGAATGAAAGAATAGAATAAAATAAAGATTATAATAGAATATAGAAGAATAGAATAGAATAATGGAATAAAGAAGAGAGAATGAAAGAATAGAATAAAATAAAGATTATAATAGAATATAGAAGAATAGAATAGAATAATGGAATAAAGAAGAGAGAATGAAAGAATAGAATAAAATAAAGATTATAATAGAATATAGAAGAATAGAATAGAATAATGGAATGAAGAAGAGAGAATAGAATAATAGAATGAAGAATAAAATAGAATAAAATAGAATAGAATAGAATATAGAATAGAATAATGGAATGAAGAAGAGAGAATAGAATAATAGAATGAAGAATAAAATAGAATAAAATAGAATAGAATAGAATATAGAATAGAATAATGGAATGAAGAAGAGAGAATAG